AAAAAAAAAAAGTCATGTATCAACTTTGACTTTTTCTTGCCAGGTTATTACTTTACACTAAACTGAAGCTACACACATGTACAATGTATACAACAAAACACTTAAAATTACTTGTCCCTTAGAAAAGAGTTAAATTTATTTTACCTCACAATTCATCTCAATGTTTTCCCATACGAAGTCAAGATGAAAACAAAACTAACTGTTTCCCTCGGGACCCATAATTAAGTATATTAGCCCCTTCCACTGTGAGGAATAATTTTTATTCTTAACCACCGGAATAAAAGTGAACACAAGTCCACACAAGTATGATCTTTAGTTCAACTACTTTTAGTTATGCTAGAAACGTGATATTTGTTTCTTGGCAATCGAAATGGGATAATTAAAGTTCAGCCAATAACCATTTAACAGTACAGCATATTGATGTATTGTTTATACATGTACGATGCCTTCTGCTAAACAAATAACTGAGTTTTCATTAGCAATGCAGGTGAAAGAGTGTGTAGAACATCTCCTGAGGTATAGTCACATTAATGTTCTTTTTAACACAGGACGTATAGAAATATCACCCTCTATAATAGGAAGAATGCTATGCATAAAGTTTGATTACAAGTGTGATGATTATTATTTTGATCCCAGACATGAAAATCGAAATGCAAAACTGTTTAGCTAATTATTACTTAACACCAGAGCATTTTGACCATTATTTACATTTGGCTCTTCTACTTATTATGCAATATGAAATTTATACATTTATCTTCATTGTGACTGTTCTTCATTAGCACTGAGACTACTCTCTCGGAGCTACATGTACATGTAAGTCTTCTATTGATAAGGTAGGTTGAGTGAGTTTCTATACTTTCTTACTGATTCTTTTTACTACTGTTAACCATGTGTTAAGGCTTATCCTCTCCTCAAATTAAAAAAACAAAACAGTCTTTCTCCCTGTAGACAATAGTTGATAATCAAAGGGGACTCAAGTTAGTGAGGTTCTACTGCACAAGTTGACTGCGGGAAATTTTGTCACGAGCAAAATTTTCTTCAACATGTTTCCAAAATCTCACTGGTTAAAGTTTGCAAGGTGACGAAAACATACCACATATCCCTTCCTTCCTTAGATACTTTTAGTTATGCTAGAAACATGATATTTGTTTCTTGGTAATCGAAATGGGATAATTAAAGTTCAGGCCAATAACTATTTAACAGTATGGCATATTGACATATTGTTTGTACATGTACGATGCCTTCTGCTAAACAAATAACTGAGTTTTCATTAGCAATGCAGGTGAAAGACTGTGTAGAATATCTCCTGATGTATAGTCACAATAATTTTCTTTTTAACAAAGGTATAGAAATATCACCCTCTATAATAGGAAGAATGCTATGCATAAAGTTTGATTACAAGTGTGATGATTATTATTTTGATCCCAGACAGATGAAAATCGAAATGTAAAAATGTTTAGCTAATTATTACTTAACACCAGAGCATTTTGACATGTTACAACTGTATTTACATTTGGCTCTTCTACTTATTATGCAATATGAAATTAATACATTTATCGTCATTGTGACTGTTCTTCATTAGCACTGAGACTGCTCTAGGAGCTACATGTAAGTCTTATATTGATAAGGTAGGTTAAGTGGGTTTCTATACTTTCTTACTGATTCTTTTTACTACTGCACATGAGTTAAGGCTTATCCTCTTCTCAAATTAAAAAAACAACAGTTGGCAGAAACCAAATTCCAGTTAAAAAATTGAATCTGAAAAAACTGCAAGAAATGTTAACATTAACATCATAGATCTACATACATGTACATGTAGAACACCATATTGAATTTCATATTCCAAGATCTGGTAGTCAAAGAGTTTTAAATTTCTTTGTAGCAGACTTAGCTGTTTCCCTGTTACTGTATGTCACACAGAAGTATCTTTGTTGCCAAATGAAAAGGAAAGCCCAATACAAAAGACAGTGAAGACAACTTGATGCATGATAATGAATGTTTGAGATCAATTAAATGCAGAAATTATTAGCTTCACAGTAAAACACCCTAATGAGAATTCTAAAGTACTGACTTTATTCAGAGAAGCAGATGAAAGAAAGTCGTAACAAAATAAGCATTTTTCAAATTGCTTTCCTTGTTTTTGAAGTAATCAATAGCCTGACAAGTTGCTTAAAAAGTGGTAAGGACTGTCAACATGAAGGTGTACATTTGTATTTAGGAGGCTAGAAAATGTCAGAAAGCAACAAATTTGAGGCAAGAGATGCATGGTGTATAGAAATGATGTTTTGAGATAAATGAACTATAATCTCAGGTCTTTTTTTTATTAATACTCTCCAATGTTACACCTGGGAGTGGTTTGCCAATCAGTTATAGGAGATCCATTCACTGCTTGGGCAAAATATGTGAATAAAATAACTTACTAAGTTGTACATGTTCTTGATGTGACTTTGAAGCTCAGTCTTAAGTTTTGAAATTGTTTTTGATTGGAAATTATCACTAACAAGACTGCTGAGACTAATTACAGTACACTTGCCCAATGGACCACCAAATTTCCATTTTCACCTGCCCAAGAACGAAATTGACTTGACCTGGGCAATGGGACCTGGGTTTTTTCCTGCCCTGGGTATAGTTTACTAGTCACAGATTTCTACACACCAGCAGAACTGCCATCTGATCATTCAGTTTGTTGCAGATTTAGTCAACACACAATCCAGTACAACTGTACAATGTGGCTTAAAACACTGTACAGCAGAAGGAAAATACATTTCACAAAAAAGCTACAAAGTAGTGCATGTATGCATAACGATTTGTATGCAGAACACTACAAACATCATTTTTAACTTGTGGCTTTGGTGAGTACACCCCAATGGAATATTTCATTCGATTTTTGTCCATCATGGTTTCTTTCATTTGTTTATAATTAATTTAATTAATGCAAATTAAACTTGAATCAATTAGGAAATTACAAGCAAGTGCCAAGTGCAGCCTGGCCCTAATGTAAACTCATCAGATTGTGTGAAATTAAACTCTTTAGAACCTGAAGTGTCTCTTGAAAGTAGTCTAAATGAAAAAATAACACAACATAATAAGAGCTTTAAGGGCTACAAGAACACTACAGTGAGGAATATGCAGGAAATTGCGTCATATAAGTGGTCTCGCCCAAGATTCTCAGCCTGTTATTGAACTGAACAAATATTAAACAAAACAATTAGGACTTTCATTGTATGCTTAATGAAAGTGTAATGAATGAACTCTTGGTCAGGGGATAAATTATGCATCGCAGAACTACTGCTTTCGATATCAAGGTAAAAAATTTGGGTCCGTGTAGAACTAAGCTTACATGTACAGGTCAAAGCAGCAACCTAAGCTTTTAACCCGCTCATTTTTGTAACGTATTACAAACACTGACGAAAACGTTGTCTGTTATTGAACTGCCCTCTAGTCTATCAGTATTGGCCTTCGTACCACAAGTTCTAATGTCCGTGCATACAAGGAGAAACCTTGAATGAATCTGAACACTCGGTAAACTCACCTATTTTGCTCCTCCAACTTAGCGACAAGTTCGTCTACGGATTTTGTTCGCGACTTCGAGCGCGGCGGCGGTTTTAAGCTGTCTTGACCACTTCCATCCTCCGAATCTCCATTAAAATTGCTCGCCATAGTGAAAACTGCGGCAGTTTATCGGGCAACTTCCTCGGTAAACTGAGGTAGCTGCCATGAACTTAAAATTGCCAGCTGTGAAGGTGACAGTCACATGCGATACCCTGGCTGACAGTGGATGAAACTTAAAGCAGGTCACATTTTCAAAATATACTGGATCATTCCCTAAGTTAACGAATTATAAGTCTTGGCTGGATGAAATACTAGAAAAACATTAAATAAACGAGCCACCAAGAGGCCACGAAAGGTCAAAACAGGCTCCAAAACAGATTGACCGAAAGAACGAGAAAGTCGAAGGAAAACTTAACAAGACAGCGTTACACCTTGGCAGCGGATTTCCAACATAAAAACAACTTCGCCTACTCGGGCCCAGTCTCTCTGTCAAACTCGGGCCCAGTCTCTGTCAAAGAAGTCTTTGCAGCTACACTTAGTCTTTCCAGGGGTTATTTATTCTCAAGCTGGCTTGGAAACCCAACCCTCCCCACTGTTGATAAAAATGGAAACTTACACGGAATTACTCTCTCCCTAGAAATTCGTTGCTTTTCTATATTTTTTTCTTGTTTGTTTGTTGGCTAGTTTATATTCCTTTACTGCCTCACAGAGTTTTTCCTCCTTCACTGATATATTGGCGATTTTCAACCAGTAAAAACAAACAACTTCGGTCGGTGGCAAGGCACCACTCTGAAACCGCTGACAGGCCTAGCATTTACGGCAGATGATCACATACAAGTCCAGCCGGACTAAATTAACATAAATAACATATATTAGTTGCCTGAGTGCGTCTCTTCGTGGCTTGTAGAACTACATGTTTTTGTACAATGATGCATTTTTACTTTCGGGACATCAAAGACAAGGGGAATTAATTAAAGTTCAAGGAAATTTCTTTGAGCGCCAGATTAATTTGTACTGACAAATAAAAGGCTAAGAATTATAATTATAGTTCAACCATTCCTAAAACGTAGATTTATTTCCCATGCGTGAGCTCTGGTACACACAGTTTTAAGCCACGGCTTCAAGCCAGCTTCACAAAAATTTCAGTTGCCGAGTCCAGCGTTGCTGCAAGTAATCTCCTTGCTTTTTTCAACTTTGGGTCAGAATCCTCTCTTGATTGTACTGGAATAAAAGGTGGTAGTTGTGGAGTTCCGGATACTACGTGTAACATGTCCAATTGAAGGCGGTGGGAACATATGAAAGCACACTAACAAAACTGTTTCTTAACTCTTCGCTTTTCCTGTCAAAAAATATGTTTTCAACTCTTGTTAAAAGAACTGAAAAAACTAAAAAAATTTCAAGTCGCGAAAATCTTTATATATAGTGACTGTAGGACGAGTTTTTTTTTTTTTTTTTTTTTCTTTGCGATAATTCAGTTAAGTTAGCAATCAGATCTGTATTCTAATTAAACTTCCTATAAAGTTAATCTGGGTTCCAATCACTTTAAAACTTGACAAATCTGTCTCGTTCACGGAATTTGCAGTGGATCAAGTACTTCAAATCTGACTGTGAATCTTAGTGCGGGGCCGATTCATGTTTACCAAATTTCCATATGTCGTTCATGGTGTAAGTGAGATTAGCTCATCTAAGTTCTTCATCAAAATTAAAAGCCCATCCCTCCAAAAAGAATTAAACCAAAACACCAGTGCTATTCTTGTAGGACACGTCGATTTAGCTGTCGGACATGTACTCTTGTTATGGATATAGGATGTGAGAGTTAACTTTCAAAGCTCAAGGTATTCTTTCGTGGCATGTGTTTTTCTCTAAGATCATATAATTGTTGGAATTAATATACAACATACTCAACATACTCTTTGCGGTAAGGTGCAATTTCACGGTAAAACCTGCTTACAAGAGCTTTAGGAGAAGAACTGTCGCTTAAAGAGGGGTAAGCTAGATACAGTAGCCGATGTACTTGACTGTAGTCGTACGTTTCCAAGCGAAAGGTAGTTCAATCTCTTCTGGTGTAACACAGACAAATGCAAGAGACCTCAAGGGCCGGCATTATACTAAAGTTTCGCGTTTAAACTAATTGCAATGCAAGATGTCTGGCGGCATGAACAGTTCGTTAATATTTGCGGTAGTAACCCTATTGTACACTGAACTGCATTTTCAAACGAAACATTTCTCCAGAAAAGTGCAACTGCAGGAAAAACAGTTCAGCAGGGTTACTACGTCTGCAACAATAGCCACAACTTATTCTGGCAGTCTGTCATGGAAATTTAAGTTATAGAAGAGTCGTCACTCAGATATGGCAAAAAGCATCTTTGACTTTGAATTCAGTTTACCCTTTGCACCAAAAAGTTCTTTTTTAAAGTTTGTCTTGTACTCTGCTGTATGACGTCAGTGTTCAGTGATTTCTGAGTGTCTAAAGAGGTTGATTTAAGAACATATCTTGATTTCCATTCAGTGCTGTAATGACTTATCGCGGCTTATAATAGTAAAGGAAGATCTTTGAAATGCTTATACGTAACAGACTGATCCGAGACTGATGTGCTTGAAGCTTCTTGTAAGGTATTCCAAATAATGAAACACCGTGACTCAGGAACACTGAACGATCGTGTCGTGTTGTAAGCGGTTTTAGCCGGATTTTTTTAAAAATTTACCTGTACTACAGATTTGAAAAACGATTCATTACTGAACCGTAAAGCGGACTGGAATGATACATATCAGACACGAGAAAAGAAATATTTGGACTGTAGAAATAACAGAAGAATTACCTTTTCTCTCATGATATCATTTCCTCCTGTGAAATATAGCTCCTAAGAGAATTTTCAATTAACTCGAATAAAGCTAATTATCTCTGTATCCTACCGCTTACCAAAATAATAACAGCCTAAAGCCCCTAGCCATTACTGGTGTCTACCGGCTAATGCTATTCAAATTCAATAAGATCCTTAAGAGAAAAAGTAAATATGGAGATACAGGGAGATTTGTTACGAGCTCCATTTCAGTATGTCGCCGGTGTATGCGTCACGCATGATATTTTGTTTATTGTATTTCTAAATAAAGCAAAGCAAAAGCGATTAATTTATATCAAATATTGACCAGTTTTTTATAAATGCTAATAGAGTGTAATCGCATAAAACAATAACAAGGTTTTTTGAATGTGTTTATCACTGCGTTTTCAATATAGCGTTAAGTTTGCTACCAAGCTTCCTGAAATAAGGGCATTGGGGAAAGGGTGGCGCTTTCGTCAAGATAAAAACATAAATGTGAAAAAAATTATAAACTTAATAAGTTATTTCAGAAGTGTTTTGTTTTCTCGAAACTGTGGAATTTAAATGCCTTCCATCCCATCACGATCTTAGAATATTGAAAAAGGCCCAAAGCAAGTAGAGTGTTTAGACAGAATAATTAAAAAACGACAAAACAGGATTATCACAAAACATTTTGATTGAACACATCGTTTCATTCAGTCAGTAAGGCGAAAGACGTGGTTCTACATTGCACGGGGCATATTTCTGTAACCGGCTCCTGTTAAAACAGCAAAGTTCGGTTAATAAGTCGCCAGACCGAAAAAATAATCTGACAAAACCAACAAACCGGCTTGGAGCCGTAATTTCTTATCTTCTATTTCTTCGGTGGTTATGTATTCAGTCGCGCTCTCCACAAATGATAAACAACCTGGGAGTATTACCTTTGCTTTAGTTTACTTTGAAAATAAACATAACAAATCTTGTGCCAGTCGAATCTTAGACGATTGACTGAAACCCCCCTTTGTTTTTCTTTTTTCTGGACATAAATATGGAACGTACATGTGTGTGTGGTCACACGTACGCGCGCACCTGCCAAACGATTAGTATTTTCCTTTTTCAGTAGAACCTTGTTTGACGTATATTTTTGTTAATTTTTCCCTAAAAGGTTTTGGAATATAATCACACTAAAGTTGACGCTCGAAATAGACGACTACGGATTGAGAGGCATCGTAGTCCTATCGATGCAGCTGGTGTGACACTCAAAAAAATATTCAACTTACATTCGACAGCGCGACTAAGTAGGAATCACTCGAGCAAATAATCGAAATATCTTCTTATCTTGAGCCGATATTAACAATTGCGTGTGAAGCTGCCTGTTTTCATGGATGGTGAAGTACAGCGAATATAACTTTATTTTTGACATAACAGCTTGTAGTCGGCAAACCGCAGCTCAGTGACGTGAGAATTGACTGTCTTCGTGACTGACGCTCGATAAAAGAAACAGCTTGGGGTGTCGTTTGGAATGCTGTTCAGGCCGAAAGAAGAATTCCGAACAAGGATTCAACTCTGAATAGTACATAGGTCATAATATAGTTGTGTGACTGAGCCAATAGCAAGTAGAGAGGTGTTCCATTCGGTATCAAGACAAAGGTCTCAATTTTAGGGGCTATTTATATACAACAACACGAAAAACAACGCTTGGCGATGGTATTATCAGCGACATCAAGACTATGTGCCAACGTTCCCCCTCCAACAAGTCTATCCTACTTCACAGCATCCCTATCAATTTTTCTGGCTATCATAACCATTCCAGGAAACTTCCTTGTCTGTTTAGCCATCATCAAGGATCCTTTTCGAAACTTGAAAACGCCATTCAATTATTTCCTGTTGAGTTTGGCTGCGACAGACCTAGTGGTGGGAGCAATCATGGACCCAGTTTCGGTGGCGTTTCACATGAACGAAGCACTTCAACTCAACAACGTGGACATTAAAATTTTGCATGTCTTGTATTTCATCTTGAGCACAGCATCCATTTTAACACTTGCTGCGCTAACAGTGGACAGGTACCTCGCTGTAGCAATGCCAGTGAAGTATAAAACAATGGTCACATCCAGACGCGCCATTGTGACTTCACTGTCGATTTGGGTTGCGGCCTTGGGGTTCTCTTTCATCTACTTCAAACTTGGGTTCATATTCTTCTCTTTCGTCTTCGCCAACACCGCCGTGTTCAGTACTTTTGCGGTTCTCATATTTGTTCACGTAGGTATTCTTAGGCGCTTGCGTGAGCGATCAAAATATTGGCGAGGTCGAAGAGCAATAGGATATACCGAATCCGAAAAACAAGAGAACCAAAACAATTTCATTAGCACGAAAAAGGAAAGCAAGGCAGCCAAGGCATTGATGATCGTTCTTCTCACCTTTTTCGCTTCGTTCACTCCCGCCTGTGTCATGATCTACTTGTTAAATTTTTGTTCAAAGTGCAGCTGTTTGATGGTCCATTGGTTGCGGGATTTACAGTTTTTAATCGTGCTGTGTAACTCGGGTGTTAACCCGTATTTGTACGCGTGGAGGCTCCCTCAGTTTAAAAGAGCTTTTTACAAAATTCTCCACCTAAGACCCCGAGGCAAAGTAAGTGACTTTTCCACGACATCCGCGAATATGGTGAGCAAGTCAGGCCAGATCCCTGAGAGTCGTGTTGGTCGCAACGATGAAAAGATTTCTGGTGTTTAATAAGAGTTTCTGAACGTCTCTCTAAAAGATGTAAATTTGTTCAAAATATAGACTTGTGATTCTAGAGTGATGTGGAGTTGGTTACGAGGATCGTTTATTTTGTTTCTGCTGTCTTCAATTTGCTTGAAGCGAACACGGCTTGCTACACCTCTTAGTTTTCCGGTAACGAAATAATTCTTAACGTCAATAATTTAATTCAGTTTAAAGGAAGTAATTTATTTGCTTTTCGCAGAGCAAGGGTAATTCCGGTATTGGCGTGGAACTTTAAACATTTTCATTCAGTTACAATATACCGAGAATTCAGATGATATGAACTCTGCGCGACGATTAATCCTCATTACCTTTACACTCGCTGATAACAAATGATACTGTACGATATCTATAGACTCGTGAGTTTCTGGCTGGTACAGTGAATTACCTTCTTTACAGCCAGATCTTAATTCTGTTCCTAGATATTTACCCTTTTGTTTATTCTGTCAGTTTTATTTGACTTGGTAATCAAGAAACTTACAGTTAAATCGCAGTAGTGATGTATGTAAAAAGTCAAAGGTCTTAGTTTAATCAATCTCTTCATTTTATATTATCAGCACGCTAAATCTTGTTGTTAGCATGAGTTATTTTCCAAATATTCCAAATATGACATAGTACACAAAGTATAGTCTAAATATATAAAAACTCGATATATTTATAACTGAATTTTGTTACGACATCGATCCAATTCAGGATAACTTGATAAGGAAATTCTAGAAAGATCGTAAGATTTTCTGATCGAAGAAAAGTCAGACAGCACGAGTAATTTTGTAAAATTAGAATTGTAAACAGCGTGTTCGTCTGAGTGAAAGTTGTTTACTCTGTTTTAATACTGCCTGGTATCTCGCCTACCGTCTCAGACATTTCCTGTGAGGATGATTAATTCTATTTGTGAACTTTTAGCATAATAACCCTGACAGGAAATGCTACAGTGGGCTTATACTTTATTTTGACTTCGTCCACCCTTTTCAAGTTGTCTCAGTGATATTAGCATTCCCAGCTCTGTATTATATATTACCTTACAAGTGTGAGATTTGTATGATTTTGTAGAACAAAAGTGTAAGTAGCTTGTAAACTAAAAATCGACTGAATAAATGCTAAATTAATTTTAGACAGTAATATTGTATTAAGTAGGGCGAGCGAAGAATTAACACAGCCAATTACTGATGAAGTTTAGACGGAAAAGCGAAGTTTGATGCTTGCGATGTAAATACTTTTAAGCCCTAGAACAAGGCTAGAGGGTCGCACAGGGGTATTCTGGTGATGCGTGCCGGTGAGCTGATTTTATTTTCCGTGAAACGTGACTTTAATTAAGAAATTAATCTTCGTGATCAGTGAACCTGGACGTTTTGCGTGACCCGTGAAGAACTTCGTGATATCACCACTCTATTCTTCGTGATTTTGAGATGCGAGTCCTCCGAATGGTTAGAGTTGTCTATTGAAAGGAGTCGAAAGTGATTTAGGTATGCGATTTGCAATATGGAGCCTTTACTTAGCCTTTCACGATTTTGCTTTCTTCAAACACTCTTTCTAGTTTAAGGGCAGGTTATTAAAAAGAGTACTTGCTTATTTTCGTGATTCGGGAAATGAAATTTTGATATCCAGGATTCGTGATTCACTATTTTTTCCGCTCGTGAACCGTGCCAGGGATCCCCCATGTGCGACCCGCAGGCTAAGGCTATCCACAAGTTGACATGCCAGTGTGAAAGGTAACCGCAAGAGAGACTTTTACCTCAATCAAGCCCGGTGGTACTGTTTATCGTGTACAGCTCACCTAACCGTGCTGCTATGTAATGACCACTAAATACTTGTGTAAACACCGAGGCGTCAAGCATAAGCACATTAGCTGATGAAATCTATGTAATGCCAATATAAAACTACTGCTCACATAGGACTATTCTTTATGTACCGCATTTGATACGACTGTGATGATTATTGAACACTGATATCCAATAACGTTCATGTGTCAAAGAAAAGTTGTTTATTAAAGTCGTCAACGTTTCGACATTAGAGTACAAATGAGTAAATACCTTGGTGTTTCTTTGAACCTCGTCTCCAGGGTCCTCTCTCTTCCTTGAGAGCGAGGTTCAGTGTTTTTGTTCATTTTTGACGGACATTAAACCAGGAGTTTCATACTCTACAGGAGAAAGAAATTACAACCACACATATTCCCTTCCGGGAATAGCAAAGTTGGAGTTGGTTTTCCATTGTACATCAGTGACGTCAGTTTCGTTAAAGTCTCCTTCAGCTGATGTTTGCTAGCCTGCGTCGCAGACAGAAATTTACCGGTAAATAACCCGCGGTGGGTAGCTTCTGCGACGCAGGCTAATGTTTGCCTGTCATTGCCTCAGTACGAAAACATGACTGATCATCGCGGATATGCACACAACTTAAGCAGCTGTAAAATTAAAGCCTGAAAATCACAAACTCTTTCATATCTTTCTCCGCCGTTCAAATATATGATCTTTCATATATTCACTTTTACTGCCTCAGTACGTGTTCTTAACATGTTAATTTTTTCAAAAACAAACAAAGGAAAGCAAACATTAAATTTTCCGGAGCTCTTACAGGCTCTTTTACTATCAGAGACCAAGGAAAGAAAGAAATAAGTAATACTCGCGGAGCTTTCTTTTATGTTCCCTTTTTTTTGTTTGAGATACGAAAAAAAAAAATAATAAACTGCATACAAGTTTAACCACACCATTACAAAATTCTAGACAGATTGCAATTCAACAATTTTCGTCAAATATATGAATAGTCACCAGCACATAAACAAAGCGAAAGACGTCGATGCCTTTAATACTGATGTTCATTAGAAGTAATTAAGTCAAATGTCCACGCCCCATGTCAAACGGTAATAACTTGAAGCAAGTAAATTTCGCATCGGCAGGCCTGGCTTGAATATAGTAAATTAGTTAACTTTTAGTCCTTCAATCTGCAGTGCTCTGCATGATAATTGACCTCAACACTTGCCAAAACTCCATTTAATAACTTTTTGCTTTCTAATTAAAATTTTAATATAACTGTATTAATAAAATTTAAGCAAAACTTGAGTAGCATCCGTTATGTGTTGTTCAGTGTCTTACGTTGTCTGCGTTCACTTCAGGATAAAGATTGCAGTCGCTCCATCTGACCAAAAAGCTACTATTTTTGAGAACTGCTTAACAGATATATTTTTCAAAGGAACTTACAAAGTACGTAGTTATACATTACCGACTGGCGAGCGATCTCAGAAGTGCACACAAAAAGAAAATTGGAAAAAAAGAAATTGAAAAAAAAGAAACATCACAATATGACAACAAAAAAACTCGAATAAACTTGTCGTCATATATATCTCGACTTCGACATCGGTTAGATATAGAACACTGCTTACTTTTCACGGACTGTGAATTTCAACATGTCTGGAAATTCTGTTTTGTGTATACAATCCCGGGTGGAAAAACACGATAGGCTTAATCGATCGCTTCTTGCAATAGTCCACGAAACAACGAGGGAGGAAAGGCGTATATGTGCGTTTGGACTGACGCTTCTTTGACACTGATCAAGTCAACGAACACACACAACTTTAATCATGACCATGCAGAGAGGTGTGAAATATTGTTCAGCAAGCAGGAAATCGTGTCAATAGTCAGTAGTAGTTATCAAGACGATTAAAGGATTTAGAGAATACAATGATAGCTGAAGGTTGAAACTTGAAATTTATGATGACCTTCCCGGCGCCCAACCATGAATTTGTAAGCGTACTTTCTCCAGCAATGCAAGTCTCTCCTACTTCACAGCACCCGTGTAAGTTCTTCTTGCTATCACAACCATTCCATGCAGGCAACTTCCTTGTCTGTTTAGCCATCATCAAGGACCCCTTTCCGGAAACTTGAACTGAAAACGTCACTTAATTATCACTTGGGTTTTGGTTTCCCGGGTTAACCAGCGGTTACACGCGATTTGTGCAGTTTGCCAAGGTGAAAAAATGTTGCACCTTTCAGTTTGTTTCCAATCAGAACTAGAACTTTCAGAACTAGTAGGACTTTCATCATGAAAACTACGGACATTAGGGCGAAATTTCGGACATCCAGAGTAGAGTGCAAAGCTAGATGGTCCAGGTTCTTACACCATGGGCATCGAAACACCATTGCAACTTACCACGTTACATGTCATAGGCGCATCTTTTGATCTTTTTGACGTATCCATGAATATTTACTCCGGGAAATTTACCTCGGGATATGTCGGTCACACTTACTAAATGCAGTTTCCCGTGGTGAAACGGTCATTTACCAGAGTAAAAATGCCTCGTGTAACCGCACATAATGGCTCACATACTAATAAAAACTCTTCAATTGCATTATCCAGTTTTTAACAATGTCTGTTACAGAAGACATCAGTGGTTCGACATCATAGTGCAAAACGATCCGAGTGAATACCTTAGTCTTTTTTGATTCAGTTTTTGGCGGGAAAATGCCCTTTGCATTATAACCAGGAGTCTCCTATTCTACAATTTTGGGCAAAATCTCTTGACGGGAAAAACAAAATACCTTCATACACATATTCCTTCCCAGGAATAGTGCCACAAGGAAAGTTAGAAAGTATTTTATGTTGATTTTCAATTGTGCATCAAGTCAGTTTCGTTAAAGTCTCCCTCAGCGATGTTTGCCTGTGGCAGTCTCGATACGTTTTCTTAACATATTAATTTCTTCAAAAACAAACAAAGCCTAGCCAACATTGAATTTTCCGGAGCTCTTATAAGCTCTTTTATTGTTATGGAATAAGGAAAAAAAAGAAATATGTAATATTCACGCGGAGCTTTTTTATTATTTGTATGAGATACGAAGAAATGTAAATAAATTGCACACAAGTTTAACCAAACTATTGCAAAATTCTGGAAAGATTGCCATTCAATAATGTTCCACGAATATATATATGACTGAATAGTTACCAGCTGTTGGACAAGGCGAACGAGGACGCCTTTGTTATTACTGATGTTCATTAAAAGTAAGGTTAAAGTCACACGCAGCAAGTTAAGTGAAATTGTAAGATAATAGCTTGAAACAATTTATCGCAAGGTCTGGCTTGAATAAATAAAGAAAATTATAATTAACTTTTAGTCATTCAATCTGCAGTGCTCTGCATGATAAACACAACACTTGTCAAAACTCTATTCAATAAAATTTAACTTCCTAATTAAATTTTAATATAACTGTATTTATAAAATTTAAACTTGGGTAGCATCCTTTATGAGTTATTCGGTGTTTTACGCTGTCGGCGTTCACTTCAGAATAGAAGATTGCAGTCCCTCCATCGGATCACAGCACTACTATTTTTGAGAACTGAGAGATATTTTTTCAAAGTACGTAGTAATATATTACTCAGCAACTGAGGGTGATCTCAGATGTGAACCTGGAGCTGCTTCGACAACAGTTCACGTACTGAACAACGATAGGGGAAGGGGGTGCATGTGGACAGGCGCTTCTTTGACTCTTTTCAAGTCTACGAATACACATTATAATTTAGAGAGATGTCAAATCGTGTTCAGCAAGCAGCTACTCGTGCCAATAGCCACTTTTAATAACCAAGACAAAAGATTCGGAAAGCTACCACGTTTAAATACTCTGAAAGCTGAAGGTTGAAACTCGAAATTTGTGATGACCTTCCCAGCGACCAACAATCATTGTGCAACCGTTCACCCTCCAACAAGTCTCTCCTACTTCACAGCATCCCTGTCGGTTCTTCTTGCTATCATAACCATTCCAGGAAACTTCCTTGTCTTTTTAGCCATCATCAAGGATCCCTTTCGAAACTTGAAAACGCCATTCAATTATTTCATGTTGAGTTTGGCTGCAACAGACCTAGCGGTGGGAGCAATCTTGGACCCGATTTCAGTCGCGTATCACATCGACGAAGCACTTCAGCTAAATGTTGTGGACATCACAGTTCTACATATTTTTTACTTCATTTTGAGCACAGCATCTATTCTAACACTCGCCGCGCTGGCAATGGATAGATATTTTGCGGTAGCTTCACCAGTAAAGTATAAGACGATGGTCACGTCAAAACGTGCCATTCTGGTATCTGTGTCAATTTGGATTGGAGCGCTCGGCTTCTCTTTCATTTACTTCAAACTCGGTTTTATTGTCTACTCCTTCGTTTTCGCTAACACCGCCGTGTTCACCACATTTTTGGTTCTCATATTTGTTCATGTAGGCATCCTCAAACGTCTCCGTGAGCGATCCAAATACTGGCGAGATCAAAGAGCAATGAACTATGCCGAGCCCGAACAACAGGAGAACCGAAACGACATTATTAACACTAAAAAGGAAGGCAAGGCAGCCAAGGCATTGATGATTATTCTTCTCGCCTTCTTCTCTTCGCTTACGCCTGCCTGTGTTATGATCTACTTGTTAAATTTCTGTTCAAAGTGCAGCTGTTTGGTTGTCCACTGGTTGCGGGATTTGAAGATTTTAATCGTGCTGTGTAATTCGGGTATTAACCCGTATTTGTACGCATGGAGGCTCCCTCAATTCAATAAAGCTTTTTACAAATTTCTTCACCTAAGGTCTCGAGACCAACGAAATAACGTTCCCACAACATCAACACTTAGCGTGGGTAAGACTGAAAACCCAAGACCATGAGAATCGTGCCGGCCATGAAGATGAAAAGATGACTAGAGTTTAATACGCGTTTCTGACAAGTACTGTCAAGATTCACGAAACTACAGACTTACAATGGCTCATCTTCTGTTACTATAAAAATGCTATTTCTGACGAATGAGCTTGCGAAGAAGGCCGAAATAACTATTTTGCCGACACGGGACACAATGCGGGCAGGGCTCAAGGTCGGTGCATCAGGGGTAGAAAGAAAGAGGAATATAAAGGGGAGTGTAGCATGTGATATTCATCTCGGCCTCTGAATCCACTCTGCATGTTCCGAGCTCCGTTTAATTTTTTTTGTGTTAGTATTTCAGGTATATATTTTTACTGCACTATCGACAGCCTTTCCTTTGTAAAGCCTCCGTAGGAAAGGCTACCAATCGCTGGAGCATGAGCCATGGTTCCTATCCAGATTTCCTGCTTTTTTTATGTAGGACAGGTTTTTTTTGTGGCCTCCGTTGGCCTCCGTTCTAATCGCACTTCTGTATTGTAAGCGGTTCCTCAGCTCCGTTATTATCATCTTTTGTATTAGTGCTCTGTTCTTGTAATTTTTCTAGTTTACTTAAATGATTCGATATATTTGTATTTTGGGTTTTCGGTTCTAAGTACTGGACAACCCGGCCTAACTGGCATAATGTGCTTGTCTATGGGGTTTTTGTCCAACGTAGAAGACACCCCAGCTCGGTTTGAAAAAGAGGCACAACGGGTAACTCGGAAATGGTCTATTTGCCGGAGCTCTTTTAAGGTCTTTTACTGTTCGGTGGAATAAGGAAAGAAAGAAATATGTAGCACTCACGAGGAGCTCTCTTTTGTTTGTTTGAAATATTGAAGATGAAACAAAAATAAATTTCATACTAGTCCACGCTACTGCAAAATTCTAAAAGATGGCCATTCAATAATTGCCGACAAATGTATGAATAGTTGCCAGCTGTTGGACAAGGCGAAAGAGGATGCCTTTATTAATACTGACGTTCATTAAAAGTAAGGTTAATGTCACACGCAGCAAGTTAAATGAAAATGTAAGAACATGAAACAAGTAAATCAGTTTGTATCGCCAGGCCTGGCTTGAATAAATAAAGAAAATTATAATTAACTGAGTCATTCAATCTGCAGTGCTGTGCATGATAAACACAACACTTTCAAAACTCTATTCAATAGCTTTTTATTTTCTTATTTAAATTTTAATATAACCGTTATTTATAAAATTTAAGGAAAACTTGCAGAGCATCCTTTATGAGTTATTCAGTATTTTACGTTGTCGGCGTTCACTTCAGTACAGAAGATTGCACTCGCTCCATCTGACCATAAAACGACTATTTTGAGAACTGCTTGACAGATTGTAGGCACGTCAATAGTCAGTATCAGTAATCAAGAACTACCACTACGGGTAAAGGTTGAAACTCGCAATTTGTTGAAACTCGCAATTTATGATGACCTTTCCGACGCCCAACAAACATTGTGCAACCGTTCTTCCTCCAACAAGTCTCTCCTACTTCACAACATTATTTTCATTTTTTTTAGTTCTCGTTACTGTTCCAGGAAACTGCCTTGTCTGTTCAGCCATCATCAAGGATCCCTTTCGAAACTTGAAAACGCCATTCAATTATTTCATGTTGAGTTTGGCTGCAACAGACCTAGCGGTGGGAGCAATCCTGGACCCGATTGCAGTCGCGTATCATATCGACGAAGCACTTCAGCTAAATGTTGTGGACATCAAAATTCTACATATTTTTTATTTCACTTTGAGCACAGCATCTATTCTAACACTCGCTGCGTTGACAATGGATAGATACTTCGCGGTAGCTTCACCAGTAAAGTATAAAACGATGGTCACATCAAAACGTGCCATTCTGGCATTTGTATCAATTTGGATCGGAGCGCTGGGCTTGTCCTTCTTTTACTTTAAACTCGGTGTTATCGTCTACTCCTTCATTTTCGCTAACACTGCCGTGTTTACCACATTTTTGGTTCTCATATTTGTTCACGTAGGCATTCTTAAACGCCTCCGTGAGCGATCGAAATACTGGCGAGATCAAAAAGCAATGAACTATGCCGAGCCCGAACAACAGGAGAACCGAAACAACACTATTTACACCAAGAAGGAAGACAAGGCAGCCAAGGCATTGATGATTATTCTTCTCGCCTTCTTCTCTTCGTTCACGCCTGCCTGTGTTATGATCTACTTGTTAAATTTCTGTTCAAAGTGCAGCTGTTTGGTGGTCCACTGGTTACGAGATTTACAGTTTTTGATCGTGTTGTGTAACTCGGGTATTAACCCGTATCTGTACGCGTGGAGGCTCCCTCGATTCAAAAGAGCCTTTTACAAATTTCTTCACATAAAATCTCGAGGCCAAGTAAATAACGTCACCATAGCATCAACACTTAGCGTGGGTAAGACTGAAAACTAAGACCATGAAAATTGTGCCCGCCATGAAGGTGAAAAGATATCCAGCGCTGGTTAAGGGCTTCTGATAAGAACTGTCAAGATCGTGAAACTCTTATCGGCTTATCTTTTCTGGGAAACTCACATTTTTTGATGAAAATGTGTCTTGCGCTCCAAATTCGGTTGAGACTGAGTTGACTATAATCATCCCAAATCCGACACGCAAGTGGAATAATTGCTTTATGAAAAACGCCCCCAAAATATAGAAAACTAACTGAAATAAAACTATAAACGCCCCAAAAAATTACGAGTACGCTTACCATATTTGTAGAGCATAGTATATAATAGGTGTGCACAGGCGGTATTTGTGGTTTCGCCGCTCGTGATTAGTGGCTCCGCCCAAAAAAACTGTATTCCGCGCGCCTACAATACCACCACCTACGCGGGCTAGTGGGTTTGAGGACGTGATGTCACATGACAGAGCGGTAGTCTGAGAGGCAGACTGGTTACTAGTATTACGCGTGATTGTTTCCATTGCTACATTTGTAATGCGTAGTCGTTGCTAGCTCTAGTCATATTGCGTTGTCAGCAAATTAAAGGCTATTTGGTATGCAACAAAGGTGGTTGTATAATGTGATCCATCGACAGCTTTGTGTCAGCAGCTTTTAACCGAAACTTTGTCAAAAATCATGTGCGAGGGTTTCACTCGAGAAGTGTTCCTTCCGTGAAGAATTATTTCAAACTGGCATCCATTTTGTCTCATTTTTTTATATATATTATTTTACTTTTATCGTTGAACATTTTTATTTTCCTTTATAAACTCAAACCGTCCCTTAGTAGCTCGGAGAATACAGGTGAGAGATCAAACATTCTGTATTCGACACCAAAGTAAGAAGAAGAAAGCACTTATTCATCATTAGGTTGTAGTAGGTATTCGGTATGCGTAATGTTCAAACTTCTAGTAGGTGAAATTAACTTGATAAGATATCCTCTAAGCAAAAGCTAAGGTGAAAAAAAGCTAAGACTTACAGACAGCGTACTTTGAGTGCAAATATGGCGGCGTCTAAACGACAGCGAGGCTCTTAAAAGAGTTCACTTATTGTGCAATGTGTCTTTATGAGAAAGCAGACTAAACGTAGAGTATGCCAAGGCTTAATACAACTATTTTCTCCTAGTATAGAGAAATTGTCACAAAATCATGTGAACCCTTCAGAAATTTGGCATTTCCGACGAACAAATTATTTTTAGATATTAACTTTAGGACAACACGGAAAAAAAAACAAATTTATTATTCACGTTAATTAAAAGTAATGAAAGGAGACGTGCACATCTCCCACTGCGTAGCACAGCAATACAGTTTTCTTAGTTTCTTCGACCAAATATAGAAGGAAGTTGTGCCTTGCTTACTCCTCACTAGCCGTGAAATTAGAAGAAAAGTAACAGCCTCCGCTTAGCTTAGTAGTAGGCCTTATTTCGATCTTTCACATGTTATCTTTTACATGTTAAGTTTATTGAAACAAAATAAGAAAAACAAACATTGAGTCTGACTGAAAATCTATGGAACAAGTGAGGAATTGAAGAGCTTCACCGTAAGCTGTTCTGTGGAAAACAAAAGAAGGCTTGCTAGTATTTATAATCCATGTTGATCAAAAGTGGTTTCAACACTACACGCCTTTTGTTAATAACTTGAGTCGGATGAATGTGAATAAAAAACAAACATTTAAACTGGTTGTAATGCAGCTTCAGTCATGTTATTTACTCTGCCGTGCCCGATTTACGTAACACTTGTCAAAGTTTCGTTACTTGATATTTCTGTAACAAAAACAGAGATATGAAAGGTCATAAAAGTGAAACTTGGAAGAATAAGTATTTTTGGTACGAATAGGAATATTACGTATAATAATTATTCTCCCCAACTCACTGATAATTTCTATCGGTTTTTGCTTTAGCTAATTTTTATTTGACATGCAATTCTATTTTTTCTTCAGAGACAATTACGAATGCAAGGACACAATTATAACTGACGTAGCATCTAGTAGTAAGCGTTCAGCTGATTAAATAAAAAGAACATTCAATACTGATGTATATTTCTGACTAGACAAAGAAGTATGCGTATCACCTTGTATAAAGTTTTGACTCGTAATTCTCACTTTTCATGGATGGCAAAGCATAGCATATAGCCAAATACTGCTTTGTTGCTTCACAGTTTAAAGCTTACTGACAAGCCCCAGCTGGAAAAGACTTTTGGTGATCGGGACGCTGAAGCTAAAGCTTCTTGTGGGTGGCTACTCCGAAATGAGGATACCCACAACATAAAATAGAGAGCTGTGAGATCGTATCCAGGCACCAGCGAGTTGTGTTAGTAGTCGGTATCGAAACAAAGGCGTAGAAGATTTAGCATCTTGTTAAAGTCACTGAATGCTGGAAGTTCGACTTCGATATCAAGGATGACTTTCCCAGCGCCCGAGAATCTATGTCAAACCATGTCTTCTCCAACAAGTCTCTCCTACTTCACGGCATTCTTTTCAATTTTTCTAGCTCTGGTAACTGTGCCAGGTAACTTCCTCGTTTGTCTTGCTATTATAAAGGACCCTTTCCGAAATTTAAAAACGCCATTCAACTATTTCCTACTGAGTTTAACCGCGACCGACTTAGTGGTGGGAGCAATCATGGACCCGTTCGCAGCCGCGTTTCATCTTTATGAAGCACTAGAAATAAACGTCTTGGATATCAAAATTCTGCATATTTTATATTTCATCTCAACCACAGCGTCTATTTTAACACTTGCTGGGCTAACAGTGGACAGATACGTCGCCGTAACATTGCCAATGAAGTATAAGACAATGGTAACTTCCAAACGCGCCATTGTGACATCGGTGTTAATTTGGATAGCAGCGCTGGGCTTCTCCTTCATCTACTTCAAACTTGGCTTTATAATCTATTTGTTTATCTTTGTAAACACCGCTGTGTTCAGCACATTTGCTGTTCTTATCTTTGTTCATGTAGGTATCCTTAAACGTCTCCGTAAGCGTTCAAAATTTTGGCAAGTTCAAGGGGAAATTAAACGTACGGAATCTGAAAAACAAAAGACCCGAAACAAGCATATTAGCATGAAGAAGGAAAGCAAGACAGCCAAGGCACTGATGATCGTCCTTCTCGCCTTTTTCGCTTCATTCATTCCCGCCTGTGTTATGATCTACTTGTTAAATTTTTGTGCACATTGCAGCTGTTTGATGGTCCATTGGTTAAGGGATTTAGAGATTTTAGTCGTGCTGTGTAACTCGGGTGTTAACCCGTATTTGTACGCTTGGAGGTTTCCTCAGTTCAAAAGAGCTTTTTACAAATTTCTTCACTTAAAGTCGAATGGATTGAACGACGGTCCTGTATGTACTTACACATCCGCGCGCAAGCCGCAGAAAGTGGTGAGATCCAACCCCACAAAGTCGGACTGAAGATCAACAACCATACAACGTTTCATAGGTGTCTTTCGATAGTTGCGCCCTCTATGAATACTCACGATTGACTTGCCCGTGTATTTACGCGTATATGTCGTTTCAGACAATAGTCTCAAGAAAGCATTTATCATTAATTAGTAGTAAAATGTATTATCTGAGAAATTACAATTTTATTTCAGTCAACTCACCGTGCTGAAAATATATCGTAGACGAAGAGTTTAAGACTTTAGACATAAACCTGTCAATATTTATTATCAGCCTCTACGTTAGCATATACAGGTCATACAGCTACACGCTCCGTCAAATTGTGAAGGTATTTGATATACACGCTGTATTTGATAACTGGGAGAATGTGTCAGTTAAATCGAGTGGCGCTACACGTTAAATTTCCAAAATTCATTCCTATCCTGTTTATCTGGTTCTACCGTTCAAATCTGATTGCTCCCTACCTGGTTCTTATATTCTGCCATCACTGCTTTAACATAGCTTAAAACGCCCAAAGAATGTGGTAAAACGCAACCGTCTTGTAAAACATTCTCAATGGTTTCTGTGAGTGCTGTTGAAAGCTGACTTTGTAATCGTCTTGGCACCATCATTTAGTACAGAAACTATGCCAGTTTTGTCTCAATCCACAAAGAACAAGCTTGAAGCCGCTTCTATTATTTGAACTTTGATATGGGCTAAAATTTGGATTCAAGTTACTGAGCCTCAGTGACAAAGGAATTTTGAAGAGGAGAGGGCCGGCTTTTTGCTGTTGTAGCGAAATAATATTATGCAAGTTTACTGTAATCTGGGAACTTTCAGGAAATTATACATATTGTAGATTTTAGTCGTAGTTTTTTTATGTAAATGTATGGTAATTCTAATAGCAAGGAGGACGGCCACTAGTCATCAATACTTTTAGTCAGTGTCAAGTGTTCCCTTTGTAAATAAAGACTTTAAATTATCTTTATAAAACAAAGGAAAGAAACGGCTATAAAACTGAAGTTCAAAACAGCCAAACTCCAGCTATCGTATATTTCATTTTTTNCTGCCTTGTCTGTTCAGCCATCATCAAGGATCCCTTTCGAAACTTGAAAACGCCATTCAATTATTTCATGTTGAGTTTGGCTGCAACAGACCTAGCGGTGGGAGCAATCCTGGACCCGATTGCAGTCGCGTATCACATCGACGAAGCACTTCAGCTAAATGTTGTGGACATCAAAATTCTACATATTTTTTATTTCACTTTGAGCACAGCATCTATTCTAACACTCGCTGCGTTGACAATGGATAGATACTTCGCGGTAGCTTCACCAGTAAAGTATAAAACGATGGTCACATCAAAACGTGCCATTCTGGCATTTGTATCAATTTGGATCGGAGCGCTGGGCTTGTCCTTCTTTTACTTTAAACTCGGTGTTATCGTCTACTCCTTCATTTTCGCTAACACTGCCGTGTTTACCACATTTTTGGTTCTCATATTTGTTCACGTAGGCATTCTTAAACGCCTCCGTGAGCGATCGAAATACTGGCGAGATCAAAAAGCAATGAACTATGCCGAGCCCGAACAACAGGAGAACCGAAACAACACTATTTACACCAAGAAGGAAGACAAGGCAGCCAAGGCATTGATGATTATTCTTCTCGCCTTCTTCTCTTCGTTCACGCCTGCCTGTGTTATGATCTACTTGTTAAATTTCTGTTCAAAGTGCAGCTGTTTGGTGGTCCACTGGTTACGAGATTTACAGTTTTTGATCGTGTTGTGTAACTCGGGTATTAACCCGTATCTGTACGCGTGGAGGCTCCCTCGATTCAAAAGAGCCTTTTACAAATTTCTTCACATAAAATCTCGAGGCCAAGTAAATAACGTCACCATAGCATCAACACTTAGCGTGGGTAAGACTGAAAACTAAGACCATGAAAATTGTGCCCGCCATGAAGGTGAAAAGATATCCAGCGCTGGTTAAGGGCTTCTGATAAGAACTGTCAAGATCGTGAAACTCTTATCGGCTTATCTTTTCTGGGAAACTCACATTTTTTGATGAAAATGTGTCTTGCGCTCCAAATTCGGTTGAGACTGAGTTGACTATAATCATCCCAAATCCGACACGCAAGTGGAATAATTGCTTTATGAAAAACGCCCCCAAAATATAGAAAACTAACTGAAATAAAACTATAAACGCCCCAAAAAATTACGAGTACGCTTACCATATTTGTAGAGCATAGTATATAATAGGTGTGCACAGGCGGTATTTGTGGTTTCGCCGCTCGTGATTAGTGGCTCCGCCCAAAAAAACTGTATTCCGCGCGCCTACAATACCACCACCTACGCGGGCTAGTGGGTTTGAGGACGTGATGTCACATGACAGAGCGGTAGTCTGAGAGGCAGACTGGTTACTAGTATTACGCGTGATTGTTTCCATTGCTACATTTGTAATGCGTAGTCGTTGCTAGCTCTAGTCATATTGCGTTGTCAGCAAATTAAAGGCTATTTGGTATGCAACAAAGGTGGTTGTATAATGTGATCCATCGACAGCTTTGTGTCAGCAGCTTTTAACCGAAACTTTGTCAAAAATCATGTGCGAGGGTTTCACTCGAGAAGTGTTCCTTCCGTGAAGAATTATTTCAAACTGGCATCCATTTTGTCTCATTTTTTTATATATATTATTTTACTTTTATCGTTGAACATTTTTATTTTCCTTTATAAACTCAAACCGTCCCTTAGTAGCTCGGAGAATACAGGTGAGAGATCAAACATTCTGTATTCGACACCAAAGTAAGAAGAAGAAAGCACTTATTCATCATTAGGTTGTAGTAGGTATTCGGTATGCGTAATGTTCAAACTTCTAGTAGGTGAAATTAACTTGATAAGATATCCTCTAAGCAAAAGCTAAGGTGAAAAAAAGCTAAGACTTACAGACAGCGTACTTTGAGTGCAAATATGGCGGCGTCTAAACGACAGCGAGGCTCTTAAAAGAGTTCACTTATTGTGCAATGTGTCTTTATGAGAAAGCAGACTAAACGTAGAGTATGCCAAGGCTTAATACAACTATTTTCTCCTAGTATAGAGAAATTGTCACAAAATCATGTGAACCCTTCAGAAATTTGGCATTTCCGACGAACAAATTATTTTTAGATATTAACTTTAGGACAACACGGAAAAAAAAACAAATTTATTATTCACGTTAATTAAAAGTAATGAAAGGAGACGTGCACATCTCCCACTGCGTAGCACAGCAATACAGTTTTCTTAGTTTCTTCGACCAAATATAGAAGGAAGTTGTGCCTTGCTTACTCCTCACTAGCCGTGAAATTAGAAGAAAAGTAACAGCCTCCGCTTAGCTTAGTAGTAGGCCTTATTTCGATCTTTCACATGTTATCTTTTACATGTTAAGTTTATTGAAACAAAATAAGAAAAACAAACATTGAGTCTGACTGAAAATCTATGGAACAAGTGAGGAATTGAAGAGCTTCACCGTAAGCTGTTCTGTGGAAAACAAAAGAAGGCTTGCTAGTATTTATAATCCATGTTGATCAAAAGTGGTTTCAACACTACACGCCTTTTGTTAATAACTTGAGTCGGATGAATGTGAATAAAAAACAAACATTTAAACTGGTTGTAATGCAGCTTCAGTCATGTTATTTACTCTGCCGTGCCCGATTTACGTAACACTTGTCAAAGTTTCGTTACTTGATATTTCTGTAACAAAAACAGAGATATGAAAGGTCATAAAAGTGAAACTTGGAAGAATAAGTATTTTTGGTACGAATAGGAATATTACGTATAATAATTATTCTCCCCAACTCACTGATAATTTCTATCGGTTTTTGCTTTAGCTAATTTTTATTTGACATGCAATTCTATTTTTTCTTCAGAGACAATTACGAATGCAAGGACACAATTATAACTGACGTAGCATCTAGTAGTAAGCGTTCAGCTGATTAAATAAAAAGAACATTCAATACTGATATATATTTCTGACTAGACAAAGAAGTATGCGTATCACCTTGTATAAAGTTTTGACTCGTAATTCTCACTTTTCATGGATGGCAAAGCATAGCATATAGCCAAATACTGCTTTGTTGCTTCACAGTTTAAAGCTTACTGACAAGCCCCAGCTGGAAAAGACTTTTGGTGATCGGGACGCTGAAGCTAAAGCTTCTTGTGGGTGGCTACTCCGAAATGAGGATACCCACAACATAAAATAGAGAGCTGTGAGATCGTATCCAGGCACCAGCGAGTTGTGTTAGTAGTCGGTATCGAAACAAAGGCGTAGAAGATTTAGCATCTTGTTAAAGTCACTGAATGCTGGAAGTTCGACTTCGATATCAAGGATGACTTTCCCAGCGCCCGAGAATCTATGTCAAACCATGTCTTCTCCAACAAGTCTCTCCTACTTCACGGCATTCTTTTCAATTTTTCTAGCTCTGGTAACTGTGCCAGGTAACTTCCTCGTTTGTCTTGCTATTATAAAGGACCCTTTCCGAAATTTAAAAACGCCATTCAACTATTTCCTACTGAGTTTAACCGCGACCGACTTAGTGGTGGGAGCAATCATGGACCCGTTCGCAGCCGCGTTTCATCTTTATGAAGCACTAGAAATAAACGTCTTGGATATCAAAATTCTGCATATTTTATATTTCATCTCAACCACAGCGTCTATTTTAACACTTGCTGGGCTAACAGTGGACAGATACGTCGCCGTAACATTGCCAATGAAGTATAAGACAATGGTAACTTCCAAACGCGCCATTGTGACATCGGTGTTAATTTGGATAGCAGCGCTGGGCTTCTCCTTCATCTACTTCAAACTTGGCTTTATAATCTATTTGTTTATCTTTGTAAACACCGCTGTGTTCAGCACATTTGCTGTTCTTATCTTTGTTCATGTAGGTATCCTTAAACGTCTCCGTAAGCGTTCAAAATTTTGGCAAGTTCAAGGGGAAATTAAACGTACGGAATCTGAAAAACAAAAGACCCGAAACAAGCATATTAGCATGAAGAAGGAAAGCAAGACAGCCAAGGCACTGATGATCGTCCTTCTCGCCTTTTTCGCTTCATTCATTCCCGCCTGTGTTATGATCTACTTGTTAAATTTTTGTGCACATTGCAGCTGTTTGATGGTCCATTGGTTAAGGGATTTAGAGATTTTAGTCGTGCTGTGTAACTCGGGTGTTAACCCGTATTTGTACGCTTGGAGGTTTCCTCAGTTCAAAAGAGCTTTTTACAAATTTCTTCACTTAAAGTCGAATGGATTGAACGACGGTCCTGTATGTACTTACACATCCGCGCGCAAGCCGCAGAAAGTGGTGAGATCCAACCCCACAAAGTCGGACTGAAGATCAACAACCATACAACGTTTCATAGGTGTCTTTCGATAGTTGCGCCCTCTATGAATACTCACGATTGACTTGCCCGTGTATTTACGCGTATATGTCGTTTCAGACAATAGTCTCAAGAAAGCATTTATCATTAATTAGTAGTAAAATGTATTATCTGAGAAATTACAATTTTATTTCAGTCAACTCACCGTGCTGAAAATATATCGTAGACGAAGAGTTTAAGACTTTAGACATAAACCTGTCAATATTTATTATCAGCCTCTACGTTAGCATATACAGGTCATACAGCTACACGCTCCGTCAAATTGTGAAGGTATTTGATATACACGCTGTATTTGATAACTGGGAGAATGTGTCAGTTAAATCGAGTGGCGCTACACGTTAAATTTCCAAAATTCATTCCTATCCTGTTTATCTGGTTCTACCGTTCAAATCTGATTGCTCCCTACCTGGTTCTTATATTCTGCCATCACTGCTTTAACATAGCTTAAAACGCCCAAAGAATGTGGTAAAACGCAACCGTCTTGTAAAACATTCTCAATGGTTTCTGTGAGTGCTGTTGAAAGCTGACTTTGTAATCGTCTTGGCACCATCATTTAGTACAGAAACTATGCCAGTTTTGTCTCAATCCACAAAGAACAAGCTTGAAGCCGCTTCTATTATTTGAACTTTGATATGGGCTAAAATTTGGATTCAAGTTACTGAGCCTCAGTGACAAAGGAATTTTGAAGAGGAGAGGGCCGGCTTTTTGCTGTTGTAGCGAAATAATATTATGCAAGTTTACTGTAATCTGGGAACTTTCAGGAAATTATACATATTGTAGATTTTAGTCGTAGTTTTTTTATGTAAATGTATGGTAATTCTAATAGCAAGGAGGACGGCCACTAGTCATCAATACTTTTAGTCAGTGTCAAGTGTTCCCTTTGTAAATAAAGACTTTAAATTATCTTTATAAAACAAAGGAAAGAAACGGCTATAAAACTGAAGTTCAAAACAGCCAAACTCCAGCTATCGTATATTTCATTTTTTTTCTTTGGTGAGTGCTCACTGGAAAAAGCGAAGCATGGTTCCTTTCATTGGAAATAACTATATAACTGTTACTGATCCGGCATGATCAGGATAATGTCAGCATCTGCGGGCAGGACTTACATGGATATGATCCTTTGCACAACAGTAATGACCAGCAAGTTGCCAAAACATTTCAACTAGCAATATCGTAACATGGAAGGGCTGCAGGACAAAAACGTCCATGGTTGAGTAAGAATGATAGAGTGACATATATTAACTTATTGAGGCAACCTCGAACGAAGTGAAATGACGGTATAGAACTAAACGGCTGCAAGTGGGTTTGATCTGAAACCTCAAACTGAGTCTAAGCCTTTCCTTTACTGTATAAAATCGAATAAAACGAAATACAAAAGGGTCAGTTGGCGTTTACAAGACTGATGGAAAAACTTGAATGGGTTCAGGAAGTCTTTTAAGGGACCGGTCAAAAAGTATTGGGGGTGGACCGGAGCAGAGAGGGGCTGAGTCATCAGTTTTTGAGCCCTTGGTAAGGGGTGGGTCGTTCAATTTTCAGCTACCCATGGGGGTGGGTCATCCTGTTTTCAAGGAGGAATTGGCACACATTTGACACAATCGACAACAGAGGTAACTCCTTTCAGTTCCAAAGGACGAAAACTTTTTGAACCGTGGTTGAAAAAGTACACTTGGCTGGTGTACAATACAGAAAACAATTTATGTATTGTAAAATCTGTACAAAAGCTGAGAAGTCTAACGGATTGAGCAAGGAGTCCCAGGGCAGAAATATTCAAAATACTGCGCTTTATCGACATGCTGGTCTTCAAGAACAGCAAATGGCCAACTTGTGTCTATATGCTATTTTTTCCCCAAGGGTACGAGACACATGTTCATAGATCTGGGAATACAGCTGTTTTCTAGATCATAGGGATCACTGTTCCCCGTGTTGCGAGGCTGGAGGCCTAGTGTGAAAAGTTAAAGGTCAAGTTTTCTTAGCGTTTACAGACATGACTTAAAGTTGCAAGAGTGAAAAAACAATATAATTATTTTTAGATGATCTTGTACTATTATTAATAAAACGTAGATAATACCACAATTTCATACACAAAATGTGACTTTGTCGGATTATGCAACCACAAAATGTCATGTTTTATAGGGGGTGGTCCATGTGATTTTTAACTTTCATTTAGGGGTGGATCACTCAGTTTTGTGCCAAATGGAAGGGGTGGGTCATGTGTTTTCTAACCACCACATTTTCAAATGCTCCGACCCACCACCCCGCGCCCCGTACTTTTTGACCAGNCCCTCCCCACTGTACGTTTTGACCAGTCAGTACTTTTGAGTTATCCTACACGGTCACCTCGTATTTGCGTCGGGCAATTACCGACGATTGCATATGACCCTGCCCAGGGTTTTGAACTCCAATTAAAAAGCGTTGGAGGGAAAGTTATTAGCTTTTATGCGCGATATTTATATTTTATGAGAGTTTGATTCAGGAACTAATCAACAGCTTTGGTTGATTTAACGACAGGTGCAACTTTTTAATTGATCATTTTTGTTGTTGTTGTTATCACAGACAAATTGCCCGCCACGAAGAAAATCATTTAATTAGAAACCAATTCAGGGTACGGTTCTAAGCCTAACCTAATTCAGGATTAAAAAGTGCAGGGAAATAAATTTGATGTCAGTATTTTGCTAGAACTGAAGACTCGGGCACATCTGAAATGACTTTCTCAGAACGATTTGTGGGTCTTAGTGCATAGTCAAACTCAAACCTCAAACATAATGGTATTATACTGACCCTGCAGTGATGTTTTACAAAATAAGGACTGATCATGACGCCTATACAACGATACCACGTCGCGCGATCGGGTCCATGAAGGTGAGATTGCGAGGCTAGAGGAACCATTTTTTGAGACTGTTTTTTGAGACAGTGGAAGAGAAACTAGTATACTTTAGCAGGCTTATGATAGCGACTCATATTAGTCGAGTTATGAGGAAATGATCGTGATGATTTCAGTCGTAGTGAGATAATGGGGGTTATTATTGCTCAATAATGGATTATCGATAATAATTGATATACAGCAACGGGAGGTGTTCAAACTTTCAACATGACTGCACTTTTGTGACAGTTTCCTCAGAGTTTCTGAATTAATTAAAAATATTTTTGCTCTGTAGACAGGTAAATGAGTACAATGCTCGACACTTCGCCACTCGCTGACTATCAGCCGATAGAAACTTCGGGCTTGCCGTCTAATTGTTAACTAGAGTTTAGAGTATGTTATGGCAAAATCTTTCGTCCAACGATCAGGTTTTATTCTCCTGATCTTCTAAAGCAGGAAATAGCACATTAAGTTTACATTTCTCGCTAGATATGTTTCGCTCGGTTTTGAAAGCCATCCTGAATTTTCCTTGAAGTGGTCCCTAATGTTCCCCCAGCAAGGCATCGCTTACGTCAAAAATACAGTAAAAATATGGAAGTTTTTGTTGACAATGGCCTGCAACCTTCCGTGCATATATAAGTAGTTTATATTTAGTTCATCGGATGAAAAGAAGTTGATCCGTCTCTAAGTGTAGTCTGCTCATAGCAGTCAAGCTGTACAGTGTCCTCCTGAAGCTCTGAGAAAAATTGGCAAGCCCTACCAAAGGAAAAGTATGAAAAAATGACGTACATTTGAAACTTTATCCTCAGAAAATAATCAACGTTTTGATAAACATGAACTAGCTAAAAGAGTTAAATCGAATTAATGTAACTAAAGCTTACGAGGATTCCCTGCGCATGCGGAAGGATATAAGGAAAATTGATTGAATTACAGGCTAATCTTTCTCAGTCTGCTACGACCGATGAGCACTAGCTACACCTAACCCAGTTTTCAAAGCAACACTTAATCTTATTCTTCCCAGGGCGCTTTTTCGTTCTGTTCCCCGATATTGTCTCAGCAGGACGAGTTGGCATCCATAATACATGTTTTACATACTCAAATAAAACTGGAAAAAAGTTACTATTCTCGAATTCAGTTTTGATATATGGGGATATAGTGTTTACCACATCGACTACAGGAGCTACTTTTTGAACGGCTACAGAGGGGAATATCCTACCACAACTATACAACAGAAACAAACTCTACTGCTTTGGCGAATATGTAGTGATAAATAGCATCCACTAGTTTACCTTAATCGGAAACTGTATTTTCTTCGGGAATTTCAATTTGGACAGTGGGATTTGAAGAATCACTACCTCTCCACAGCATACGGAGTGGATTGCCTCCAATTAGCTCAGCAGAAAGCCCATATACAAGTCCAAGGTATGAGACAAAAACCAGGAATTGTATCAATGGTGTGACGTCCATGTTAACAATTGGAAGAATCATGTCTGAAGTTCGTACTTGAAAGATTTTAAACTTTGTTTTGACCACAAGCTTACTGTCTTTCAAAAACCTTGCACCCGGTGAAATATTTCATTTACATCAACGTATAAATATGGTTATACCAACAATTACTGTAACAACAAACCTGTATAAAGGTCTATTTCTAAGCTCTTAGTGTTGAGAGACTGTTGACTTTGAACTGTTCTTCTTCATAATATCTCTGAATAAAGGCATATATATTCTCAATACTGCACCACATGTCAGTAAAATCATAATTTATCAAATGCTGTCATTTTCAAAGGACAGGTACCAGTCGAAAACGTTTTAAAATTTAATTTGGGATTCAAATTTATCCGGAATGTTATGTTTCATTATTAATGCGGCTACAGGAAATTCTCTTTTTACCTTTGTGTCACTTATTTTTCCTT